CAGAGGAAGTTTAGGCCCGTCTTTGCCAGGGACGGCTGACCGCTCTAGCTCTCTTGCTGCTTTGCCGTGGGACTCACGGGGGCCACATTCTCTAACTTTTCAAGAAGATCGTTCCTGTTTAATACTGAGAACTTATTTTAAAAATTGAGGGCTGTGGTGATTCTGAAAATGCTGCTGCTGCTGCGGCTGCTGGCGACACAAGGGCTGGGAGAGGGAGAGGGAGAGGGAGAAGTCGCTGGCCACCATGGGGGGTCGGGGGGTGGAGATAGGTCCCGGTGCCGGGGAAGGAGAGCGGAGAGGCCCCCCGGCCAGGAGACGCCGGAAGAACTTGGACAAAGTCGGGGGCACCGCGGTGGGTGAAGGTCCGGTGCACAGGAGGGCCCGGGGCAGAGGGGGCGCAGCCGCGGAGGGCCGGGCAGGTCGAAGTCACTGCTGTGCTGTGGGGTCCAGTGGCTCGCCCCGCTGATGAGAGACGTGGCTTAGCGCTGCTCGGTCCCAGCCGGGCGCCGCCGGTACACTGCCACCCCCGAGGCCCCGCCTCTTTGCCAGGTGACGCTGCGGCACAAGTTTTCACGGTTGGGACGAGGAGCTAGAAAAGGCGTGCGTTTGCGCATCTGTGGGGTTTACTCCCTTGGGGGCTGGCCAGTCCGGACACTGCTTCGCGTCAGTTCCCATTCGTTGGGGTGGTCGGCGGAGCGGCTTGGTGTGATGAGCGGCACGGCCTCTGCCGCCCAGTAGCGCGCTGGCCGCCCCTGGGCTGCGGGCTCCACTCTCCTCCTCTTGGCCGGCCCGGTTCTCCTGGCGCTGATGCCCTGCTGGTGGAAGTCCCTCCGGACACGGCGAACCAGACATCGCGCGTCTTCTGGTTGCCGGGCTGGGGCAGCTGCTCTGCGCCCATTCGGCCGAGTGGTCGCCGGGTATTTAGGAGATGTTGTCTGGTCGGTGTATTTTGGCAAACTGTGGCAACCCCAGGGGACCCCCTGTCCACAATATCAATGATTCCTGTGTCTCTCATGTGATAAGTACCCCCAAATAGGATACTGAAGTGTATGTGAAAGCATTTTTCTATTTGGGCCAGACTCGAGATTCCAGAAATTAAAACCAATTTCAGTAACTGCCTTTTTTATTGCCTTATTTTAATTTTAAATTCTAAACACTTAAATACTTGTTGTTTCATTACATTTTCCTTCCTGTTATGAATGCCAAAGCGTTTCTTAAGGTATTTCATTTTGTTCCAAAAAGTTCAAGGCCGTACTCGTAACACCCCACGGGCTAACCGGTGTATTTCTATATGAATAAACAGAGAACAAGCCGGCCGCATTGAGGGGTGCGTAGGAGCTCTCGCCACCTTTGCTGCGCTGTGAGCACCCCTGGGCGTACCTTTGTCCCTGCGCTGTGCCCCCCCCCCCCCGCCCACTGCCTCCTCCCAGGCCCCAGGAACGCTGTGATCGGGGTGGATTGATCCGTGGATGAACCAGGAAGGGTAGTGTTCTGTTACACAGCGTGATGTCACCGATCAGTTCTGTCGATGTCGCCCTGCCCGGCCAAGTGGAAGGGGTCCCCGGGCGCTGCGGCGGGGGACGCGACCGGCGGTCAGCCCGGCAGAATGGCCGGAGCGCCGTTCTGCTCGGAGTCAGCAGGCACGAATCGGATTCATTGCCACCCTTCCCAGGGCTCGCGTCCTTGACCCCCAGGGTCCTCTCCCCTCGTGCAGGGGTGGTGCCTGCTCTAGAGTGTGGCGGGAAGGGGAGGCTGTGCTTCCAGGAAGCCCTCACGCAGTACTTGACGTCAGAAACGCTGAGTTTGAACTTGGCGTTGGTTCTTGGCCTTCCCATGCTATCTTCTGCGGGCCTGTATGTCTGAAGGTGTAACCCCCCCCAAAGATGGCTCATGTCTGTCTAGCCGGCTACAGTCTCACAGGACTGTCCCATACAGCAGGTCCTTTGACCCTCAACGGCAATGCCACCGATAACGGCAGCCATCATTGCCAACGAGTACTGAGCACTGCCAGTGTGCCCGAAACGGTTTCTGTGTGGGTGAACTCTCCGGTGAGTGCGTGAGAGCTGCTGTTAAACTCGCTCACTCCTCACGGCCGCCACGCTCAGTCTGGAGGTGGGGAAACCGAGGCCTGGCGTGCGTAACTCGTCCAGGTTCACACAACTCACAGGCGGTTTTCTCAAGACCAGCAGGCCCCTGACAGCATCAGCGGCCAGCACTGCTTACGCTCTCCTTCTGTTCCGGACACTTCTCAGTACGTGCCCGAGTTCATCCTCATCACGCCCCCGGGCGCAGGTGCTGTTTTCTGTCTGGAGCTGGGATGTCTCGGGGTGACATCGCTCAGACACCCGACTGGACGCCCCGGTGTTCCAGCGGCCAGGCGCCGCAGTAGACGCTGGGAATACAGAGAGTAGTGAGGCGCGGTCCCTGGTGTGAGCAGGTAAACTCGGGAGCGTAAACCAAGACACAAACAAGCAGGATCACTCTGCAGCCCGACAGCTGCTGTATGTGCGTGCATGCAGAAGGGCAGCCGGCCGTGGGGAGCACCTCTGCCCCCTGTGCTGACCGACAGCAGTGGGCAGTGTGACCATCGGCCAGTTCGTGTAGGGATTCAGCGGGAGAAAGGCTGCCCGGGACAAAGGGACCGCCTGTGCACAGGGTCACGGTCACGGGCGTGCAGGAGAACCACGAGTGTGGTGGGGGCCAAGCTGCAGGCGAGAGGCTGGAGGGCACAGGGGCCACGCTCAGGAGCTTAGGAGATGATTTGTGGGGACCAACCCACCTGCACCCCTGGAAATTCAGGCAGGGCAGCACTGCTTCTGTATTCTTCGTTTGCACTGTTCCACTTGGCGGGTGCGCTGGGAGAACAGCACAAGTCAGCGCACGGGCACAGCTCCATCCCTGCTCTTCTACCGGGTCACCTGGAAGCATCTCTCCGTGGTGCAAAAGTCACGGTGCTTTACTTGATCTCCTCCTGTCTTTGGCCGTGTTTATATGGTTTCTTATCTCGTCACCTCTTTCCCACACTTTTCAAGGAGGACCATGTCTCTCACCTTTTTGTCCTAAGAGCAGTGCACTTTTTTTCTTCATCGTGAATGAGATTTTTACACCCTGAAGAATTTTTAGAAAAAGAAGGGGAAAGTTCGCACAGAGTGGCACATGTGACCCCAACCACTGGTAACATTTTGACATGGAATCGGTGTGCCCTATGACGTCAACATCACGTTACCGCGACTTCTGACTCCTGCCGGCGGGCTGCCAGCGGTTGGGTCGTCCGCCTCCCGCGGCCGGCGGCGCGGGGTCCCCGCGGAGCGTCCGGTCCACCCGGTCCCCCAGTCACAGCGTGCGCTGCCTCGGCCAGTCTCTTCTCACATTCTGTGGGAACGCTTTGGTATTCATACCCTCTTTTTCATAGCAGCTTAACTCCGTGTAGATTTTATGTTTTGTTTTGGTTTTTTACTTTTAATAATTAGCACACTTAGAAGAATTTAGGGCCGCGGCGGGCAGCGCGGCCGCAGCATCCCTTTCCTGGAACCCGATTTTATCCTCTCCGGACCCCGGCGCCGCGTCTGCGCGCGCAGTAGGTGCGTGGCTGGGCAGCTGCTGGGTGGTTCTGAGCTATGCAAGGGGCCCAAAAGGGCCGTGACTGAGAAGGTGGAAACGCAATAAAAGCTGCCTGGATTCTCTAAAAATGGGCCACTCGTCCCACAGACTTAAAAACGCGGTCCGCACTGCCCTGGCCGCCGGAGCCGCTCAGGCAGCTGCGAGGCCCCACCGGGTGGGGAGTGTCCCGGCTGCACGCGGGCGCGCTCGGGGCTGGCCGCTTGGCCGGACGCAGCCGCCGGCCCAGCTCGGCCTGCCGGATTGTTGTGTTGTTACTGTTTTTCCTGGGCTGTTTGGCCCGCGGGGCTGCTTCTCTGCTCTGGTTTCTTTCTAAGTAGTCAGATTATTTGCTCCGGGTCTCCTGTTAGTTTTGGCAGATTCGACCCTGAAGGGAAACGGAACCCTTGTTTCCCTGCCTGATGAGGAGCCGCCAGATACATCTTTGCTGGGGGGGGGGCGGGGGGGGGGCGGCGGGGGGAGGGGGACCAAAACAAAACCTATCGTGCTGCCATTGTCTGGAGCTGTGAAAAACAACCGGGTTTATTTCTACGTTTCAGATCATTTCTGGTGAGGGTGAAGACGCTTGGGTGATCTTTCACTGAAATGTCACGTCAGTGACTCCAATTCCACCACTTGTGAATGAGTTTAGGTCTTTTGAAAGGAACGCATATTTTTCCTGCTGATGTGTATTTTGCACCGAAGTGGGGTGCGGGGGGGAACAAAGGCCAACGTGGCCTGTGTCTGCTTCTGCGTGGAGCGGAAGGTCCAGGGTGCTCAGGGATTGTATTTCAGGGTGGAGGGACCCGGGACCCTGGGGCCGGACCACCTGCGTTTGTACCCAGCCTGCTTCTTACTAGCAATGTGACCTTGGGCGGGTGACTCAGCACTCTCTGGGTCTCAGTTTCCCCACTCTAACACGGGGATAGCCGTATTATCTACATGCTAGAGTAGCTGCAAAGATTAAGTGAGTTAACATGGTGAAAATAGTACGCGGCACCGAGTGTGCTTAACAGGTGTTAAATTTTTTTATCACTATTATTGTCCTGTTGGCACTGATTGAATCCATAGAGTGGAAGGTTTACATCGTCACTGTCTGAACGTAATTCTGTGCTGGGGGAAGAGCATTGGACACTACGGAGACTTGGGTCATAAATAAAGGCCTGGGACTTGAATGCCTGTGGAAGTTTTGCATATGGTACCTCAATACACAAAACAGTAACTCTTGTAACTTAAATTTTAAAGATTACATATTGTATGCCTACTGCATCTTTTTAAAGGTGATTGTGTTCACCGCATAAATACTATTATGTAGTCTATATAGGCAAACAGCAAACATTATACAGTGACCACGAAGCACGGTCACTGATTGCCATTAATGTTGACTGTATCTTGCCTTTCAGAACTCTTCAACAAAAAACACGCCTGGTAAGAACCATGGCTTTCAAGGTGCCGCTGGACCAGGAGAAGCCACTTCTCGCCGTCGTCGTTTTGCTGGCCTACTTGGTAAGTCAGCTCCACCTGCGTGAGAACGCGGTGAGAGAGCTCACATACGTGGCGCCAGAACCCTTTTCTACGCCCGATCCCAGGTTTTAAAATTTTTTTCAAATTGCATTTTATGACTGTTACATTTAACTAATAAAAATTGCGCCCGAGCCTGGACATTTGTGACAGTTGCCGAAAGTATTTAAATGAAGACGAGGTGGAAAGCACAGCGGTGCTCGCCGCCCCGGGACAATGGTCGCCGTGGGGGGACCGGAGTTTCCCGCAGCGCGTCTGACGGCCCAGCAGGCCCCTGTAATCTGGCTGGGCGCCCACGACTCACTCGGCTGTGAAGCGTGTAGAACTGAGTTTTTTAAGTTCTATTATGTTTACGTAGTTATTTAGATGCGTGGTTAAGGACAGATGGAGAATTTCCACGTGTGAAGGCCTGACACGAAAGATCTATGAAGGCGTTCAAAAGAGTTGAAACCTACTTCGTTTGAGGACGGAACCATGCTCCTCGACTAGGAAAAGACTCACTCACCCTGCAGCCAGCGCCCAAAGTCTTCTTGGGAGACAAAGTCAGAGGAGATGGTGTCCCTCTGGAGTCAGACTCAGGCAGATGTGAGGTGGTTCAACATCGGGACGAACTTCTAGAAGGTCAAAGCCTTTATGGGCTCTTTGTGGTGGGAGGGAGTCTCCTCTCTCTCTCTCTCTCTCTCTCTCTCTCTCTCTCTCTGGAGTAAAGCCAGCTCCTCTAGGACTGGTGGTCGGGGCTGTGAAGAGAGGCAGGAGGTTACTAGACCTTTAGCCCCACATGACGTTCTAGTCCTAAATCCCACCTGGAACTGTCCCTCCCATCTGCTCGGGAGGGGCAGGCTCTGATTTTACAGAAGGAGGCCAGCAGACACCATTCTAGATATTTCCTGCTTCAAGACGGGCAGCTGACTTCCGGCCCAGATGGAGGCCTAGGTAGGCACACACTGTGCCTCCTCGCACAACCAAAAGGACAACAACAAATTTAAAAACAAAAACAACCAGAACTGACAGAAAAATCGAACTGTATGGAATTTGTTGAGTATGGTCGCAAAATAGAGGAAAAAGTGAGGGTTATGAAAAGTGAAATAAAGGAAAACATACAGGGAACCAACAGTGAAGGGAAGGAGACCAGGACTCCAATCAACGGTGTGGAGCAGAAGGAAGAAAGAAACATTCAACCAGAACAGAATGAAGAAACAAGAATTCAGAAAAATGAGGAGAGGCTTAGGAACCTGCAGCACAACTTTAAATGTCTCAACATCCAAATCATAGGACTGCCACAGGTGAAGAGGAAGAGAAAGAAACTGAAAATTTATTTGAACAAATAATAAAGGAGAACTTCCCCAGTCTGGCAAAGGAACTAGACTTCCAGGAAGTCCAGGAAGTTCAGAGAGTCCCAAAGAAGTTGGACCCAGGGAAGCACACACCAAGGCACATCATAATTACATTACCTAAGATTAAAGATAAGGAGAGAGTCTTAAAAGCAGCCAGAGAAAAGGAGACAGTTACCTACAAAGGAGTTCCCAAAAGACTATCAGCTGATTTCTCAAAAGAAATCTTGAAGGCAAGAAGGGGCTGGAAAGAAGTATTCCAAGTCATGAAAGGCAAGGACCTACATCCCAGATTGCTCTATTCAGCAAAGGTTTCATTTAGCGTGGAAGGGCAGATAAAGTGCTTTTCAGATAAGGTCAAGTTAAAGGAGTTCATCATCACCAAGCCCTTATTTTATGAAATGTTAAAGGGACTTACCTAAGAAAAAGAAGATAAAAAAAATGTATAGTAAAATGACAGCAAAGTCACAATTATTAACCACCACACCTAAAACAAAAGCAAACTAAGCAATCAACTAGAACAGGAACAGAACCACAGAAATGGAGATCACATGGAGGGTTATCAGTGGGGCGGAGGAGAAAGGAGGAAAAGGTACAGGGAATAAGTAGCATAAATGGTAGGTACAAAATAGACAGGAGGAGGTTAAGAGTAGTATGGGGAAACGTAGAAGCCAAGGAGCTTATATGTGTGACCCATGGACATGAACTAAAGGTGGGGGGGAGGGCGTGTGCAGGGTGGAGGGAAATAAAGGGGGGTAATGGGACAATTTTCATAGCATCATCAATAAAATACATTAAAAAAAAAGATGGAGGCAGTTTGCACTGAATCATTGCTAGTTACTCTAACCTCCAAAAGCAGTTTCCTGGGCACCTGCTTGTGATAGGCTTTGTCCACAACAATGTCTCTGATCTCCTGGCACTTCCTGAGCTTTTCAGCTTGTATTTCAGAAAACAAAATCGTAGTCAGAAATGTCATTGAGGGCGTTTCTGCTAGTGGTAAAAGGTCGAACTGAATGTTGTCCCCCACTTGAAATTGTATTATTTTTGACACTTTTACAAAATACTGTTAAGACGCAGATGAACACACTTTTGCCGGATGATAATATATAAAGTGAATTTACTGTTTCTAGATAAAGTAAGAGAAAAAAGCTATATTTGGGAAAATGACTTACAACCTTTCTTTTTGCCAAAATAGATGATAATCTTTCCGTTTTAGTCCTATGTTGTGAACCAAACTACATCGTTAGGCCCCATGTGAGTGGTGACAGGGCCATCAGTGAGGGTGTGAGTTCACACTTGCAGAACACTTTTACACTGAATTGTCCGGACGTTTTGGCCACTATCGTCTTCATCATCCTCGTCGAGAGTTCCACTGATCTCAGGATTGTCAGAAGTGTTTGAAAGACAGTCTCTAAGTAATGCAGTTCACCTGAAAAGGACGAAACTTCTACACCAAAACTGGGTGGCAGATATGAGGTCTATCTGGAAAAAGTCCAGCGATTGTTAACATACGGAGAAGGGTTTGCACGACTTCAGTGTAACCTGGCAGCCAAGGAGCGTGGACTGGAATGCGCATGTGTGAACAACGACGATTTCACTGTACTCGTCAGTGGTGGTGGTAGACACTGTTGAGTGAGCATGTGTACTTGTGTGGCCGTCACATTCAAAATGACTGAGCAAGTAGAGCAACAAATCTGCATCCAATTTTGCGTTAAGCTTAAACATTCCTCCATGGAAACTGTTCAGATGATTCAGAAGGCCCCAGCTATGGGCAGCTAGTGATTGGCAGCTTTATCTCGACAACACGCCTGCTCATGCATCGCATCTCAGGCAATGTTTTTGATGAGACATCAAATCACTCAGGTGACTCAGACCCCCTGAAGCCCAGATTTGGTGCTCTACGGCTTCTGGCTTTTCCCAACACTAAAATCACCTTTGAAAGTGAAGAGATTTCAGACGGCTGATGAGATTCAGGAAAACACAACGGGGCAGCTGATGGCGGCTGGGAGAACTGTGTGAGGTCCCAAGGTGCCTACCTTGAAGGGGACTGAGGTGTCATTGTCTTATGTACAGTGTTTCTTGTATCTTGTATCTTCTTCAATACGTATCTCTATTTTTCATAGTACCTGGCTGGATACCTTCTGGGCAGCCCTTGTATGTCTGAAGGATAATAGCAAAGTCCCTACAGCTGTACAAATTTATTTCATTCATTTATTCAATTCATCATTCTTGAATATACTTGTGTTTCTTTTTTTCTCTTTTATTTTTGCTTATTTTTCTTGATAAAAAAATATAGTTTTGGAAATCAGAAGTCTTCAGATTGCAAAAGGACCGTGAGTGTCTGCATGGCGGCCTGTATTCGTCCTCTTAGAGAGGGGCGCAGCCTCCGAGTCGTTCTCCGCCCGCGCCCTCGGGAAGGTGTCCGGGGAAGACAGCAGCCGACTCCGGGGAAGAGGGAGCCCTCGCCCGGGCACCACAGAGGGCCGTCGGGCACACCGGTGTATTTGTCCCTCTGCCCGCATCAGTCAAGTGGTGTATTTTCTCCCTCAGGTGAAAATGGAATGGTCCTCTCTCTCTCTGACGTCACGGTCACCTTCAGTGACTGTGGGAATTACGCGGAGGATGCTGCTTGTCTGTTTGTTTGTTTGTGTTCTGCCAACGAGGCAGTGGCCTTGCCGTGAGGTGTAATGCGGTGACGCATTGTTTTCCAGGCCTGCGAAGCGACCTGTGAGACCGAGGACTGCAGGCAGCAGGAGTTCAGGGACCGGTCCGGGAAGTGCGTGCTGTGCGAGCAGTGCGGGCCGGGCATGGAGTTGTCCAAGGTGCGGTGCGCTCGGGGCGGCGGAAGGGCGGGTCTGTGCCTTCCCAGGGCATCCCTCTTGGCTGAACTCCCTTAGTTAATGACTCACGAAGACTGGGACACCGCGACAGAATTCTTGGTTCACCGTGTCACTTGAGCCAAACGCAGTTCCCTTCTCAATACTTTTCTCCCTGCGTGCCTGGCCGGGATAAAGGAAACAGGTTCTGATAAGCAGAATCCAAAAAAACGTTAGTTTTATGGAACTTAGTGCTTATCATATTTTATTGAAAGAATAGAATTATTAAGGTTTATGTAAACCTTATTTAAACAAGGTTTATTAGTTAAAGAGGATCACAAGTCTACTAAAGGTTGAAAAATCAAGCACGGATGATGGCAAGGGGTGATGGCGCCGTTGACTGAGACTTCTGTTCTGTAAAACGACCGTTGCTGGCCAAGAAGCAGAGCCCGACAGTGTCTCAGCCGACGCTGCTCCGAGAGAGCCGTTCTCCTCCAAACCAGGGTGTGGGCACTTCCTTGACGAGGCCAGGACTATCGGTCTCCCCGGCCTGAGTGTGTGTTCCCCCCAGGGTCACTTTAAAATGTATTCGTCTTAGTCACCATTTGTTAAGACACTGTGTCCTGGCATATTTCTGGGTCTCGGATATTCTCGGGTCTCTTCTGTTTTTGTGAGCATGCTCAGAACTATGCACCAATTTGCTTTATCTTCTGACCTTTGGAAGATGTTTCTAGGAGAATTGAGGTGTCATTTTTCTTTGTTCTAAATAAAGCATCAAAGTCTTCCCATTAGAAAAGGAACAAAAGATTCTTCTTTTTCTTTAGAGTGGCTTTTAAAGGAGAGGTCCTTTGCCCCTACACACAGCCGTTATTTAAAGTTGAGTCTCGTCATTCATAGATTTTTGATCGATGATCCACGAACAGCAGGAAACGAAGATTTCTGCATTCCACAGGTGGTGCCTGGCCCCGGCCTCTCTCTGGCCGTTGTGTTAAATCGGGGGTGGCCCTCAGTGCCCTGGGCTGCCCCTTTGGGCTGAAACTGGCTGACCTGTGAACTCCCTGTGATGTCTGGTTAACTAGCATCTCAGCTCGGTGTTTTAATCTGTGGGTTGTAGTGACATGCATTTTCAGACAAAGGTTTTGCTGTGTCGGAGGATCTGCGTATCTAGGATTAGTGAACAAAGTGGTGAAGAATGCAGCGGTGCCCGAGGGGCAAATAGACCGCGGGGTTTCTACCCAATCTCTGTGAAGATCTGCAGGAGACTGTGCAGATGAGTCATGCCGAGATGGGTGAATCATTCCTAAGAAATTGCCCTAACCTTCATCCTTTGAATCCAGAGACTATAACCTCAAAATAATTTCTGGAGAATCAAACCAGAGGATGAAGGTACTATCGGCTCTAATATATACTTTTATTTTTAAAAAGAGTCTCTCTCCTGAGATTATCTGATAGCAGTTTCCATCTTTCCCAGTGCTCCTTGCATATCCAGAAGAAATACTTTTCTCTAGGTAGCAGTTTTCCCTGGGCATTGCGATAGCTGCCCAACCCCATTCCGTTGGAAGCAGCCGGAGGGAAGCAATTCAAGTAATTCTTCTTTATGTACTTATTTCCTTAATTTTCATTTCAGTATTTACTATCATTCTCTTCACTCAAAGAAAAGACTAGGACAACTCGAGTGAGAAGTAAAAGTAAAGGTCAGGATGTCATGGAGACATTAGGTTGTCAACAGCCAATCGGATGCGCGATGTTACAGACATCCCCTGGGTCCCCCCCATGCACCCCAATGTGCTGATGTGGAGGGCAGGCGGCCGGTGTCCTTGCTGTGCACACAGGGTGCCCAGCTCCTGGTGGACAGACAGACAGCACAGCCTTGCCACAGGACTGAAGACTCAGTCAGCCTCAGATAGTTTGGGGGAGGGGGAGTGACAATTCAGTCTAGTGATATCAAAGTCAACAACTTTGTGTGTGTTATAAATAACATAGTTCGCCAAGTCTCCTATCCTGGTTTTAGCTCCCAGCAGACAGCCGGCACTGCGCCTTGCCCCGTCCCAGATGCAGACCGACAGAGAGGCAGAGAGACCTGCCCCCGGACGTGTGAATGTGTTTCTATCTCCCTGTCACCCGATCAGGGCAAAGAGCTTGAGTGTTCATAAGCAATTACTTTGGGCCCAAAATTTCTAAGCTGTCCACTCGTAGATTCTCCGTTTCTCCCTTTCGGGCTGCCTTTATGAAGGTTTCCACAATAACATACATCTTTCATAGGAAAGAAAAGTAAGTTTTGACTATATAAAGATCAGATAAATTAACGAGCATATTTAACTCGTTAATTACCACCTTCCACTTTACAAATCAAGGGACAGTGTAGTCTTTTGACTAAGACTCAACTTTTTCTCAATTGTCGGATGACGACATTGATAAGTAAATCTCACTGCTTTTCACCTGGAATACCAAATACAATGATGTATATATTACTGTACGCCCTATTCAAGTCACACTGAGCGGTGGCTTGTGTCACCAGGGAACTTGAGGGGTCTTTTTCCTGTTTCTGAGGCAGACACTGCGCACCGCAGCTCACCCCGCCCCCTGAGAAGCGCACGCTGGGCGCGGGAGCTGCGCGCGTGGGCGCCAGGGTCACGCCGCCCTCCCCCAGGCTCAGGGGGGTGCGCATGCGGGTGGGTGAGAGCGGGTGGCTAGACTTCTGCTTCTGGCCGCCTGAACTCGGCCCGGCGGCGGCCCCCCCGCACCCCAGCGGAGCGGCGGTGCCCACGCCCGCCTCCCTCCCCGCAGCGAATCAGGAGACGCTTGAGACGGACTGCAAGTCCCTGGCACGCGTTTCAAAGTGAGCTTTCCTGATGCGTGATTGGGGTGACTTTAGCTGATGTGAGAAAGGAGTTCTCATCCACAACGGCATCCTTCTGTCCACTTGGATGCCGGGCTGGCTGCAGGCTTTCAAAGACATCCATGCACTCTTGGGAAAACTGTTTCCATCCACACGGAGAACAGTTCTCTCTCTCTCTCTCTCAACACACACACACACAATGTAATTTGCAGGCCTAAAAAAGATTCATTTTTGCGACTTAATCACAGCGTTGCTCACTTTGTGTTTAATGACACCTGACCCAGCCCTGTGGTGCGTGGCAGATATTAACACGCTCTAGCTTGTGCTTTTTTTTCTTTGAAAAACTCAGCTAACGATCTCCGTAAACTGGAAGCTGGGGGGAGACGCGCGGGGTGGCGTTGGACGGAAGGAAATGGGAAAAGCTGGTTTCCGAGGGCCAGCCGCAGACGCCTGGTTGGCCGGCCCCATTCGTGTGCCCTGGACTTCCTCCGCAAGCACCTTCCCCTCTGTGCAGACCGGAGCGTGTACAGTGAGTGCGGGGAACCAACGTCCATCACGCGCTGGCTGTGGGCACAGAATAACCAGGGCTTCTGGCCCGGGGCCCAGCACGCTTTCCTGGACAGGGCCCACCGCGGGGAGGGCCTGCGGCCGCGGAGCCCCCTGCCCCTGGAAGCTGTGGGTGTGGGTGTGGGTGGGGTCTGCTGGCGTCTGTTTCTCCTCCGCGCTGGATTCGCAGCGGCAGGACAGGGAGAAGGGGACTTGGGGACTGTTTACTTTGGGCCATTTTGCTGCTGCAAAGCCACCCAGTGTGGCTGAAAAAAAAGGGGCACAGGGACAGAGCCACTGCTGCCACCAGCGGGGTGGGGGGGGGTCAGGGCAAGCAGCCCTCTCCGACCTCAAGCCACCGTAAGGAGGGCTATTCACGCCCACCCCCCGCAGACCCCCACCCGCACCCCGCTAGTCCAGCAGGGTCTCCCAAGTGGGAGGCATGGTTGCGGACTGACCACGGCTCTGCCCCCTGGAATAAAATAACAATAGCGACCTTAGGAAATACCGCCTTAAACAGCATCCGTCCCCTCCTTTACCCAGCAGGTCGGGACTGCTCCCCAGCCCGTCGTGCGCTAAGGGAAAGGGTGCCCTGCCGCGCTGGGGGGGAGGGAAAGGGGGCGGGCGGACTGGACTCGCGCCCTCGGCCACGGGCGTGGCGCCAGCGCGGCAGGGCTCGCGGTGGGGAGACCTCGGGCTCCGCTGCACGCGCAGCTCCGGCAAGGAGCGGGCGGGGTCAGTGGGTAGAAAATTCCGAGAGGAAACGTCAGGAGTGTGTGTGGGAGGGGTGGTTCTGGCTAAAGCCGAGCTGACGGTGAACACGGCAAGCAGGCATCCCCCCCACCCCCACCCCCGACGGTGGAGGACCAGGAGCACGGTCAGACGTCGAGGGTGGGGCTTCTGGTTCACCGGCTCAGCGAGGTGGTCGCCAAAACTGGGTTTTCCAAGGGAGTGCCCAGAGGGCCCGGGAGGGGACTCAGGAGCCCCACTCCGGTCTGACCCCGCAAAGGCTGCTGGTCCTAGCAGGTGCTGGGCGGTGGGGGGGGTGCTCTTGGGGGGAGGTGGGGAAAGAGCGGCGGAGGGAGGTCTCCAGTGCAAAGGGCTGATCACGTGTGGAGTGATTTTCTAAACCCTACAGAAGTGCTTTTTTCTAAATTGCACTTAAAAAATTTGTGTATCTGTCAGTAAAAAGGTGTTCTCAGGGATTCAGGGAAGGGGTGGCCCTCTGGCCTCGAAGGAGGTGGATGCCAGTTTCGGAAGTAACGGCTGTGGGGCGGGCTCCTTCACACCCTGGGGGGGGGGCAGACCGCGCTCCGGAAGGACAACACGCACGTGGCTTTTTCTGAGGCCCAGGCCGATGACTGCCCTGCCCTTCCCTCCCCTCCCCCTCTTCCCTACCCCAAACACACATGCTCACCCCGCAAGGCCCTGCCTCCCGTGAAACGACGGCAGGGAGAACCCCAGTGCAACCGGGAAAGTGTCAGAAAGCAGGCAGAGGTTACCTACCGCAACAACAGCAGGTTTTGTTCAGGGACTATTGCCACAGGGGAAAGAGACCTCAGACAGAACCGGGCTCAGTTCCAAACGCAACATGGACTTGGGGTGGGGGTGTAACCCAGGG